GAGAATTTGGTGTGTGTTGGGATTATATAGAATGGTATTGGACTTTTGGGCCCGATAGGGGTTCGGGCCCCACAGCCGGCCCACTTGGTCAATGTTTTTTTTAATGTGTGGTGCAGTTCAATGGGACCTCAGTGTGTGTATGAGCTTTAAAGGTTGGGGGCTTTGGGTTGGGTGCGGTTACAGTTGCCTACGGTTCGTGCAGTTCCTGCTTTATTGTTGATTTGGTTTTGGTGTTGGTCATTTAGTGGAGGAACAAAGATTTAAGATTATTTAATATGGTAATGAGAATACTACTGTTTATAAACACAACCAAATAGGAAAAATTGCTTTAAATTAAATTTGGTCACTCTAACAACTTAAATTAAAAAATATAAAACTGGATTTAAGACTTTTTTTTTTCTAAAAAAAGAATTGTCTTGTCTGAAAATTTGAAAGGAAAAAGTGGACATTTTTATTTTTAAGAAAAATGAGATAAGTTTGATGTTGTAAGTAGATATGGGATAAAAACATAATAGTTACAGTTAATATGATATAAAGTAATAAAATGTTAACTGATATATTTGATAATTAGAAATATAAAAATGGAATATATTGTGTTTGTTGGAAAAATATATAACTATATTTTTTTTTTAGTATGTTTGATAAGTACCGTAAGTTAGTTATCTTATTTAGTTAGCTAGTTAACTCATAAGCTTCTCGTACTAAAAAAATATTGGTATAATAGAACGAGATTTTTTTTAAAAGAAAATTGGACCTTATCTTATAAGTTTTCTTACGTAGTTTTTTTATTTAAAAAAAATTCGTTGGAAATTTTGTTTTAACTGACTTATCAACTATTTTTATTCCAACTATTTTTAATTTTTTACCAAAACTTTTACTATATCAGCTAGTTTCATAAAATATCAACTATAAGCTCAAATTAATTTATAAGCTATCAACTAGCGTTTCAATTAAGTTTACCAAAAATAACTTAATTGAGTAAGTGAAATTTAGTAGAGAAAAATTAAAACGACATTATAATATTATTTATGAAACTGTTATGTTTCATTTTCAATTTTAGTTAAATAATTTGTAAAGAAAAAAAATATATCCAATGACTAACGTAAGAAACACCCCAAATAGGGAAAGTGCTTTGAATTGAATTTCTGATTTATATATATGGGCACATTCTAATAACTTTTTCACCAAACAAAACAACTTAAATTTATCACAACACCAAGTTTCGACATGCAATCACAGCACACTTTCAATTGTCAACAACTTGTCATTAATACATTTGCATTTACTTTTTTTCTCGCATGTATCAATCACTTTATTTAAGCTTAAATGACTGCATGAACTGTACCAAACACATCTCATAGAGAAAACTGCATCATAATAAAACAAGTAAAAGGGCAAGAAAAAGTGAAATATTAGTACACATAGCTCTTTCCTTTTAATTTTTTTCTTCCTCCTTAGTGGCTCCTTTTTCTTTTTGGGGATTGGATTTTCAAGAAGAAAAAGGTTTTGACAACTATTATTAGTGAAAATTTTTGTTTCTTTTTTATTCTCTTCTCTGCCTATTGGGATCCCAATCAGCACAAAAATTTTGATCAGTTTCACTATCTTTTCTTGTCTATCATCTTTTTTGAAATCCTTAAGACAACAGTCTGAGACTTTTGAAACATAAGGGAGCTGAAAATTTATAATTTTTTTTTTTTTTTATATATTTTTTCTGTAATTATATGACAGGATAGAATCCAATCTGGGTGTGGAATCAAACCCACTAATTACATGTTCAGTGTTTCAAAAAGTCACTATGCAGATGTAGTGAATCTTGTTGTGTCAAACTCCTAAACATTCATCAACCATATTTTGACTAATGGAATCAAAATTCAGGAATTTTTAAGCTTATTTATGAAGCAATGGCACAAAGCTCCAAAAAGGGAGAAATATAACCACCTCAGAGGTTTAAATTAATTACAATAGGAACATAGAGAAAACAAAAATTCAGTTAATTCACCATATAGGGATGTTAATCTAGAAAGCCAAGAAATTCGTGCTTGTTTAATAAACGACCAGATCAGCTCAGCTCGTTTTCGGTGGTATAAGCTCGGCTTGGTTCGGCTTGTTTAAAACGAGTTGTTCGTGGACCCGATTTTTTGGGCATTCATTCATGAACATGTTTGGATCGGTTCTTTAATTCTCGAGGTCAACTACGTTCGCCTTGTTTAATAAATCCATAATCGTAAACGAGTTGTTCGAACATGCTTTGATTGTTCGCCAACACGTTTGGCTCGACTATCCGTTCCATATCTATACAAATATAATTAAAAAATAAAAATAAAAATAAACGAGTTGTTTATGAGCAAGCTTGACTCAATTCCTTCAATAAACGGACTCGATTCATTGTTTGAGTGCCCGATTAAGTAAACTAACAAGCCAAATCCAAGCTTTTACGAGACATTTTTAGCGAACAGCTCAGTTCTGAGCAATAGCTCTACGTTCCATATACAGTTACAAAAAACACCTTGAATAATTTATTTTCGTCTCACAAACAACCACACTATTAAGAATTCAAGATAGATATACAAATCTCAATCAGGTGCATATGCCACTTTCAAGTTTCAAGGGATAAACTATAGTTTATAATGATAAAAACACGTGTGGCCACACATAATCAACTGGGAATCCAAATAAGATTTAACTCTTTAAACCTACAAACTTAAACTGTAAGAAG